TGTGTGTGTGTGTGTGTGTGTGTGTAAAGTGAAATCGGCTCTTTCACAGCACATTTCACGTGCATCTGAAGATATAAAGCTCACTATAAAATTTTCCCAAATGAAAATATGTAGTCCTATCTGATAACTTACCTCATATAATACACGTGTATATGGTTTTATATATTTTGTTTATACAGGTTTTATTCCTGACTGAGGGAAGAAAAATGAATATTATAGAGATTAATTACAGATTTCTTTTCTCTCAGCTACACAGCAAGGAAACTAATAATCGATTCAAACGTTACCCCCCCCCCCCCAGGTTGGCGTTTTGCCAATGACGGCAACTTGTCCTTAAAAGCATTAAGCGTAACATCTGACTTTGGATTCATTTTACCCGCTTTGTCTTTGTGCATTAACAAATAGAGGGAGGCAATTAAAACACATATTGTCTGAACGCTCATCCGAGTAAATAAAGATGTTACATTTTCAATTGATTTAATCAACAGTGTCATGTGGCCACAGTGTTGACAGGGGAAGTAGTGCTCTGTTACACGGAAAAGTAAATCGATTTGCAAGGAACACTTATCGAAGAGAATAGCGAATTCAGCTTTGAAAATCTGTTATATTCATTTCTGAGCATTGTTGTTTGTGTGACCTACCGGTATTCTAAAGAGAGGAAAATAACGTAAGTTACATTGTATAATAAGGTTCCCGTTTGTAACATTTTCCCCAGGAGACCACAGTCCACAGTGCGCGGTATTGACGAATGGCACTTCTGAGGAAGCCTTAATTACTTCCGCAAACTCGTTTAGTTTTATTGATTGGTTCACGCGTGCCTTAACCGACGACCTCGAAGGTCCGACGTGCATCGTGTGGAGCGCAGTTTTCCCCCCTTATGTCACGTGAGTAAATTATCATGATTCTGTGAGCGTTTTGTGCTTCTCCTCGGGGTTCGAAAACTTCGCTCAGGCATTATAGATCTACATGTACTATGAAACTACAGACCTAGATCACGTCATAAAAAGCGATCGAAAACTTTCTCAGAAAAAGCAGGAATTAAATCTAGTATGTTCCGAGTTCTGACAAAAGGCTACATTATGGAGACAAAGTGCAAGCGCGTCCGAGTTCCATAGTAATAATTTGCGCTGCTAATTAGATCTATGCTGTGCTAATCGTGTTGAGATTTTGCATTTAGCTTCCCTGTAGATGTACTTTTAAATGTTTTTTTGTGTCTTGTGTTTTGGTTTTGTCGTTATCTGTCTGTCTGTCCGTCTGTCTATCTGTCTTTCCTTTTCTCTCTCTGTCTCTCTCTCTGTCTCTCTCTCTCTCTCTCTCTCTCTCTCTCTCTCTCTCTCTGTCGCCATCTTCACGGTGATCTAAAACATAACATAATTATGACATAGGGGTGAGGACAAAAAATATAGAAAACAAGGGATACTCAATCCCACCAACCCTTGCCCCACCCGCAATCGGATCAAGGACAACAATGACAACCACAAAAACGTCAGTACTAAAATGGCGATGATGATGATGAAAGATCATGAAATGCAAGCCAGTCGAGTGGCGAACGAGTAGTAAAAACACCTATAGAGATCTACAGAAAGAGAAACCAACAACCCAGAAACAACAGAAACAAAATAAGGAAACAGCACCTGCGACTGCTAACTACCTATGAAATCACAGTTTGGAAACTATGGGATGAATAATAATAGTAATAGTATAATAGAAACCTGAATTATGCTTCCCCACGATCAGTTTACGTGGTGAGCAGGAGAGGAGCAGTTTTGTTTTCCCTTTAGAGACTTTGTAAACAGTACATTACTGGATGGAGATAATGATTTCATAGCAGCGCACACAGAGCAAGTTAATTTTTCCTCAGGGGTTTCCCTTTTCTGTATTATTTGGTTCTCTTATCAGCGAAAGCTTATAATTTTGAGTAATAGCTCCAATAAAAAAGATGCGACCACGATTCGCGAAAAGTGGGATTTGATGAAACAAAACGGAAATTAAGGAGGGTTGACTTCACTGAGGGTGATCGATCGGAAAAAAATATAGAAAGTTTAGGTAAATCATAATCAACAACAACAACAACAACAACGACAACAACAATAACAACAACAACAACAACAACAACAACAACAACAACAACTAAAAGTATAAAAGGTCCCG